ATATACATTACATGTGGCAATTACATAAACAATAGCATTTAATGCATTATCATTTCTTATTGTACACTATTTAAAACATCATTTCTTAATTGATAAGAAAAATACAGAAATTTACCTAGGTTACATAGTTCTTTAGTATTTGTGGAACTCAGTTACTGTACTAATTTAATTAAATACTGGTGGGTTTTTTAAATAATAACTCTTGATATATTTAATTCTTGGTTCTTCATATTGAGGACATTTTAATACAAAGTGAAATTCGTCCTCTATCTCATCTGATATACATATTTCACATTTTCTATCTTTTTAGAGATTGTCAACCAATGTCCATCTGTCTGTAAATGTTCTGTAGCATGCAGTCGTGAACAAAAACGTCAGCTTAATGTTCCCGTGACATTTCATTTATTTCAAACTAACAATTTAACTTTATTATAAATGTGATGTGCAATTTTTCCTTCGTCATTTCTCATTATTATACCCCCGCTTGAAAAGCGGCGGTATATAGTGATGGGGGAGGGGCTCTTTCCGTGCGTCCATTAGTGAGGGTACCCGTCTCTTATCAGCAACTCCTCCTATACCGCTGAAAAAAATTAATCAGACTTTCACGGAATCTTTATTACATAGTGCCAATGTGCACCTTCTTATTATTTTTCGATTTGACAGATATTTAGGGTTTTTCTTTACAAAACATAGACATTGCCATTCTTTCTCTAACATGGGAGTGGGGCACCGATATTTTATCCACAACTTCTACATCACTGAGATTTTCACTTAATCTTTATCACATAGTGCCATTGTGCACCTCCAATTTTTTGTTTTGATCGGGCAGATAAATAAGGTCACCCATAGCAAACTATGGACACTTCCATTCCTCTTTTAGTATTAGGGGTAACTATCTCTTTTCCGCAGCTTCTCCTAAACTACAGAATAAAATTGAATGAAACTGTCACAGAATCTTTGTTACATACATGTAGCGTAATTGTGCGATTTCTATTTTATGTTCTGATCTGATTTTCAGATATTTTGGGGTTTCCCGTAGCAAAACATGGTCTTTGCCATTTTACTCTTATGGAAGCAGGGGTATCATTTTGAGAGCTTGGTGTTCATAGTACCTCTAGTTTATATTATAGCAATATATATTTTCCCATTAGAGCAGATTCTACGATTTACTTCTAAATTGAGGCAGGCTACGGACAAATTTGTTGATGATACAAGGGTACCAACTATCCCGTTTAAATTTTCATCGGTTTCTAAATCACCTTGATCCAGGTTGCTTCTGAGTGTCCCTCTATTATGATTCACAGATTTGCATTGCTTATCGTTGTAACACTCTCTAGCACATTGTTTCCGTCCACATAATGTCTTATGACAAACAGTTAAATACACATGCTAAATAACACAGACGTATCTCTCAATAATGCAAAAATATGCTGTATTACTATTTTGAAAATAGGTCAAAGGTCACGTTAAAAGGTCAGTGGACGGTAGTCATGGCATTTAACAAACGCCGTACATGTAGTTCCAAGCAATACTTGGCAAAAATACCATATCCATACCTCTTACATGCAGTCTCAAGAAATAAGGTGTGACAGACAGATAGCTAGACAGACGCCGGGTAGAGTGATCCCAAAGCTTATCCAGCTTTTTAGCAGTGATGAAACCTGACGTTAGCTTGGACATTTTGATGTTATCCACGACGTGCGCCATAAGGCGATACCACACATAACATAGAATCCCATCTTTTGTTTATTTGAGCATACATCAGTTTAAAATTGCTATGCATATTGATTAAAAAATGTACTAAATTTAGTAAAAAGTTCATTATTTTGCACTCTAGACGACTTTACCGGTCAATCTTCGTATGTCTAAAGTTTCATACAGATTGGAAAATATTAAATTCTAGCCCACTAAATGTATTTCTTTGTTTCATATTTTATGAGTCGTATTTTACCCTCCATTTTAAAATACATTATTCCGGCTTGTATGTCTTTAAAAAGAATGTGACTATCTTGCACCCAGTTTTAAAACTGATTACATTTCAAGCTGGAAAGTAGACCCAGGGAGCTCGAAAACTTTTTTTGAATGTTGGTATATGACCCCCCCCCCCCCCCCGTCTCCTGTCTTAGACACTGGGATTTAGGTACATGGCATTTTATGATGAATTTAGCAATACTTGATTGTTTTTTATATTCATGCAATGCAGATCTGCTCTGCATACTGTGTTGCAACTCGATATTAATGAAAAGAAAAAAAAATAGTGAAAGAGTAATGAAATTTTCTTCCCCTGTTTTTTTAAAATCTTGCATCATCCAGGTAAATACCTGTAACCTCTACCTGATTTCCCCTGAGAGTGCCTCTTAATCACTGCATAATTGTTTTTTAAGCTGTTCGGGGAAAAAATCTGGCAGATATGTTCCCCGAATTAGAGATTATTCATAAAGTGTTCATGAAAACACCGCAATTAAATTGTATTAAATTTAATTAGTTTTCTGCGGCATTTTTTATTTATAGGCTTTCCATGCCATTTCCGCTAATAATTTTTATTTTTCAGTTTTATTAAATTTATTCTTTAACAAATAGCTTATCAAATTAAACAATTATTATAGATTTATCAAAATAAAGAATATCGTAAAGAATTTATTAATTCTACATAAAAAATACAGAAATACAGAATACAAAGTATCCCGTCAGAAAATAATGCACATGGTTATACATGTAATAATACTCGGAGGGAGATACGTGTAGATGTGTGTGCGCTCAACAATATTCTGAAAGTATTTGTTTATGACGTATTTTATCAAAATCAAATCAATGAAAAAAAGAAAACAAACCAAATAACTTCGGAAGAATTATTATCCGACAAGCTTTCTCTTCTTTATTTTTATTTTTTCTGTAATATTAATATCAATTATAAAATACATGTATGTGATATTAAGATTTAATCACCAACTCTTTCCAGTCAATGCAATTGTGTGCAGTATGACTTTGAAGTGGGCAATTTATATATGTGTCGTTTACTGATTTTTATTTGAAAATTAAAATAAGTACACGACTATAGTCGTTTACTTATTTTAATTTTCAAATAAAAATCAGTAAACGACATATGTACAATGTCATTATCACCCATTCTGCATGAATTTCTTTATTTAGCTGATGTATATAATAGAGAAAAAAAAAATGCTTTTTTAGTATACTATATATTCAGATTAAATAATGCTTATAAAATGAGTTTAAAATTTTTGTCGTGACCTATGGATTTTAAATCAATGAATTATATAATATAAAACATTTTCGTGTTTTCTTTATGACCTATGGATTTTTAAATCATTGAATTATATAATAAACCTTTTTGTGTGTCTCTTCAACAAATGGTTTATCCCATGTATTTATATATATATATATATATATATATATATATATATACATGGATTTTATTTATGAAAATGATACTTTTCTCGTAGGCTTCTATATGAAATAAATAATTAAGGTCATATCTATCCATTTTGAGATAATTTTGTAAAATTCTCTTGTTAGAACTTTTTCTTTTACTCCGATCTTTGGAATATAAGACATTTTCTTTGAATTGACTCTTTGTTAGGGAGAAAAATTTTTTGCTATTTATGTATACAGTGTAGGATACCTTAAGATTTTTTTTTAAATAGGTCTATGGTTTCCTTGGTGAATTAAAATTAATGAAACGAATTGTAAAAAAAAAAGTTGTCGTTGAATCTGCAACTCTGTTACAATTTTTGTTAAAAGTGGCACCTGCTACAAAAGCATATGTTAATTGAGTTTACAATAAATTAACATGTTTTATGACCTCTTATTTTGTAAATTTTCGCTTGACAACAGGTATAACAGATTATATTAAGAGAATCGTAAGATTTCAACATTTATAAATTAAAAACCGGAAGTATCATTGAAATATAAAAAATGATAAGTTTCCTCTAAACACTAACGCATTTCTTAATAAATCACCTGGACGTGTGGGTATTGAAAATACAGAATTAACCTTTAAATTTCGTTGGAGTAGCAGTATAAATAGGAGAGCTTTATCAGTCTGTCCTCACAGAATCTTCTCTCAGATCCGTCACATCACACAAGGTAAGAAGTAAGTTTCAATTCGGTACTTGCTTTATCTTTATTATGCTGCATGGTAAAAAATGTCAAGCCGAAGCTTGAAGAGATCTTGCCTTTATTGAATGAACCATGGACTTTTTTTAATTTCTAGTCCGTTTTTGATTTCCTGGCATGTTTACAATCTTTTGACAAATTAAATATTAAGAAAACTTGACTTGAAAAAGCTCCAGTTAAAAATTCCAGCTCTAGTTGAGGAACCTTATATACAAAAAATATTATTCAGGGAACAGAAAGAATATAATGCTAAACGTGGAATATAAAATGTACATACTAGTATATATATAAACATGAAATTAAAGTTATATAATATCACAAGCTTCTCTCGATTTCTCACGCATTTTAAGAATTTCTTTTACTTGTTTTAAAATATGTTCTTGTATACTATATAATGCATTGAAAATTGTTTATTTTATTAGTATCAAAATTATAATTTAGTTTTGAAGTTTTTTTTTCGAAAGTTTTTTTTTTAAATTTTATTAAATGATTCCTACCTGTATCAGTAACTTCTCAGTTATTTGAAAATATCAACAATTTGTTCTTACAATAAGCCTCAATTAATGAGAATCCAAGGGATCTGAATTATTTGTGTATAATTTTCTGAGCTGAAGATACTAATTTTGAGAAATTGTCCTATGTACACATGTGTTTTCGACCTCTTGTCAATTTGAAACAATCATCATATACATGTATACGTCATGAAAAGATTTAAAACTTAATATCACGTTAATTCTAAAAAAAAAATGATTTCCTGACGATTGAGGATTGTATCTCTAAAGCATGAATTTTCCAACTTCACTCTTAATACCCTGCAATATTGGCTTGTGTGCTTCCTGTAAAAAAAAAACTTATTTTTTCAAAGGATGATCAAGCTGCTGTGTTGTCTGGCTCTGTTCTCTGTAGCCGTGTGTGATGACTACTATAATCCCTCCTACGGTGGATTAAATGTCGGCCAAGGATATGGAGGAATCGTCTATGGTGGCAAAGGACTTGTAGGACATGGTAAAGGACTGGGAGGAGTCATCCTTGGAGGAAAAGGATTAATGGGCAGTAGCTGGGATAATTATGGATATGGAGGAGTGATGGTTGGAGGAAAAGGATGGATGGGCGGTAACTACGGTGGTAAAGGACTCGGAGGAATCATCCTTGGAGGCAAAGGATTAATGGGCGGTAGATGGGATGGTTATGGATATGGAGGAATGATGGTTGGAGGAAAAGGTTTGATTGGCGGTAACTACGGTGGTAAAGGACTCGGAGGAATCATCCTTGGAGGCAAAGGATTAATGGGTAGTAGCTGGGATAATTATGGATATGGAGGAGTGATGGTTGGAGGAAAAGGATGGATGGGCGGTAACTACGGTGGTAAAGGACTCGGAGGAATCATCCTTGGAGGCAAAGGATTAATGGGTAGTAGCTGGGATAATTATGGATATGGAGGAGTGATGGTTGGAGGAAAAGGATTGATGGGCGGTAACTATGGTGGTAAAGGAGGAATCTATTCTGGTGTAGGATTCAAGGTAATAAGGAGAACGATAACTGTTCATATGGTGGCAAATTTGCATTTTTTATTTTTCCTCCAGAATATTACTAATTTGATGGTTTCTGCATGTAACAGTTCATCTTTCTTTCTTTTTTTTTCAGGATTATTATTGAAAACTTAAATGGATGAAAGTGTTTACGCCGACATTGTCATTGTCATGTATTCTGTAAATAAAATAAACTATTGATATTAAACGAGAAACTTCTTATATATATCACTGAGCTATATATAAAGTACGTGTAGATGGATAAAAACGTCTATATTGCAGTACTACAGTAAAATAATCATAGACTTTACGTATGTCTGCTTATCGGGAAAGAACTGTACATGCATAAACTTTGTACTTAAATGAAATTTTTAAAATAGGAACTTTTTCCCTATGCATTAGGATTAATAATCGATGAAAATGTCTTATAAATATCAAATTGGATTTGGAATCTGGAATATTTTAATGTTATAATCTCATTGCCTCTCATATTCCCAATTCTCTAGGACTTGTTTACCTACATATAATGCATACATAACGTAATATTGAGCTGTCTGGAGCTTCATTTTGAATATAGGTAATGTATTCCTACATTATAGACAGACAGTCCTTAAAGTATTAGCAATTCAGAATCAAGCGCATGTGCAAGCATAGCCTTGCATTAATCTTAATGCTACTATAAATATCTCTCTTATTTTCCCACGAAAACAGTCCCGTAGGAAGCATTTTCAGTTCGAGGGGAGGGGGACATCCAATTTTTTTTTTCAGTAGGGTGTGCTACAAAGCAAGCATTTCTTAAAAAGCCAAAAATTAAAAAAGAAAGAAAGAAAAAGGTCATCAAAAACATAAAGCACCCATTTCCAATAATACTAAAATAAAGCCTTTATTTATCCAGGATGACATATTTAGCGACAATGCCATTTTTCAAATCTGATGATTGTCACATGGTTAGAATATGGTTTATAAATTTTTATTTCTCAACAAAAATATAAAACACAGCCCAGGTCATTCAAACAGATAATAAATATAAAACATCTTCAAACGAATGCATTACTGTCTTGTAATAGGTGATCTATGATCAAGATAAAAAGATTTAATTAAACATCACTTCCAACTCAAACTGGAGGATTCCTTCAAACTGATTACACATGTGAAACACTTATTTTAGTCTAGTCAATTTATCATTTAATATCAAACTAATTGTAACAGAAAGTGTTTAAAAAAATTAATAAATAAACGAAAGTAACCACAAAATATTTCTAATAAAATTTGAGAGGTGGAAAGCATTATTTGGGGGTACATAAACACGAAAAGGGGGCATAACTCTTGCCCATACAGTGAATTTTACATGTAGTTCATGTCTTATTAGAGCACTATTCCATCATGAAGAAGAGGAAGTGAATTATACTCCACAGAATGGTACTTTTATACTCGGCAAAAAACATTATAACAGATACTTCAGCCCAGTTCTGAGTCTGCTGCATTTTCCCCTTCATGATAAATTTTTTTTGCTGAGGCCAATCTTCAGAATATAGGAAACATATTGTCTTTAAAATCTAAATGTGTTTGTTTTTCAACATCATTTAATATTAGGATACAGAAATATAGGAATAAAATTATTTTTACACACTAAAATAAAATCTCAAGGAAAATTGAAACTTATAGCCCCCTTTAGAAAAACGGTATTCACTGACTATTGTTTTTAAAGTTATTATTCAAAAAAAATTCATGACCAAAAAACAAATATATAATTCTATTAAAAACATTCATTAAATATTGATATTATCTATGTAACAAATGATCGTTTGATAATATCAAACACTTTAAACCATATCACACTATTTTGTAAAATGAGCATTTCTCTTCTATTATATGGATAGATTTACAAGGTTAAGCCCCTTTTTCTGTAGTAATTTCCATAGATCATTAAATCATGCCAAACTTATGCTTTCCTTTCATTAGATTTTTTTCTAGACTTTTTTCTACAAATATTTCAAATAAACTCGAACTTAATAATCGTAAAAGTAATAATTTTTATTATTATATAGTCTATTTATAGTCCCTATATAATCTATACAAACGCAAACAGTTCATAACACTACATATTCACTGGTTTTGAAGCCGTATTCACCGGAGGGTCGGTGCGTGTGCAGCGGCATTTTGACGTCACAATCAACACCTCAAACAACGTTGTAAACAATGGTTGCAACGGCCGGAGCCAGCTGTGTGTCTGAGCAGGAAAAACATTAGCCAAGCCTATTGCAGTGTTATTTTCTAAACATTACGAGGTCTTACAAACAGCAAAAGGAAAACACGGAAGTTATAATTTGTAATCTGGACATTTTTGAAAAAAATTTCTACGACAGAAGTTCGTAAATGGAAGTGGTATCATCATGCAGCCTTCAATGTCTTATTTATTCAAATCCGGACTATATAACAAAACAATTATGGACTCTTTCGGTGGTGAATATAGTTTGTTATTCACCAGAAAAATATCAATATTGACCTCGGCTTCGCCTCGGTCAATATTGATATTTTTCTGGTGAATAACAAACCATATTCACCACCGAAAGAGTCCATAATTGTATACTGTTGTAAGATGTAGGAGGTTGAGCTCAATTTTTTTTGATAGATTGACTAGACTATTTCATGTTTAAGTGATACTGAAAAACATTCAAAAAATACTGGGAATACTGTATAAAACATGAGATGTAAACATAAGTATTCTGGTGCAATTAATACAAAATAGTTATGTAGATTACGATTATGATTTTTACATTTACATATACATCAAATGAAAGCATTCCAACTCTTTTCCAGCAGAACATATCATATACTTGTACGTATTTTTGCAACCTCAATATAGTGATTTTACTCTCTCTCTCTCTCTCTCTCTCGCTTGGTGAAAGGCAAAACACACATTGGATATTAAAATATAAATTTTCCTGTTGGATGGAATCTCCCAGTACATATATATATATATATATATATATATATATATATATATATATATATATATATATATATATATATATATATATATATATATATATATATATATATATATATATATATATTAAATGTGTATCACAGTTTTAGAGAACATTTTCATAAATCAAGAATACCATAAAACATAACATCATATAACATTATATCATGAAATCACCAAAACCTACACGCAACTTCTCTCGAATTCTGTATTACAAAACAAAATTCTAACATTGAATTTCAACTCCTTCACTCCCAACCTGCTAAGCATTATTTCAATCAAGGCGCATGCGTGGGTTAATAATGTCGGACTTCAAGTTTTGCTCCGAATTTTGATAAATATAAGTGTAATCACCGGCGGGATATGATTAGAAAGATAAGTGAAGACGTTCTAAAGAATGCCTAAAGCCAAGAAGAAAAAGGAAACAAAGAAAAGGAAGAATTCAGATGGTAACATAAGTGGTGAAAGCGAGGAAAAATTTCATGTAAGTCACTCAACCGTGTCGATACCAAGAAAAACAAATAGAGCACCAGTTATAGCTCCCACAATGGAAAACAATGTACATAATAGCAATAATGTAAGTAATAACTTAATACCAATACAACAGTCTACACCAAGCTATCAGGGCTATCAGGGAAACCCCCAATTTATTACGTATTCTCCTCATGGGCTCATGTGGCCCCCACACGGGCAATTTGTTAGCTATGTCTCCCCAACTACGAATAACATGGGAATGGGAAATGTAGGTCAAATCAACAATTCGGCTAGTGCGCGGGAACCAGCACAGGGTGATATGCAAGACGTTATGAAAACCCTTGTGGATAAATTAGAGACAATCGACCGAAAGCTAGATAAGCTTACTATAAATGAGAACAGGCTAGATGTTCTAGAAAAAAATGTGCACACTATTAACGTAGAATTAGACTGTGCGAAAGAAATGAAAGCCAAGGTCAACGACCTAGAAAACGGATTGACCTTCATAGGAAACTACACGAGGATTGTCAACAAGAGGTAAATGTAATCAAGAAGTCAGTTAAAGAGATTCAAGCACTGAAAACAGAAGTCAGTGAATTAAGAGAACTCAATTTAGATTTACAAATGAGTTCAATGAGGGACAACTTGGTTTTTGACGGAATAAAAGAAGAAGCAGAAGAAAACGCAGAAGAAGTAATTAAAGCCTTCATAAAAAATGAACTAGAAATTATGTCAGACATTGAGTTTCACCGTGTCCATAGAATTGGTAGAAAATCATTATTTAAACATCGGCCAATAGTTGCGAAATTTGTTCGTTTCAAAGATCGAAAATCCGTCAGAAACGCCGCACCGAACAAGTTACGAGAAAAACCATAAGAAAAAAACGAGCAATTCCCGAGAGAAGTTGCAGAAAGAAGGAAACAACTTTACCCTTAATACAAGAAAGCAAAAAAAAAAAAAAATAATAAAAATATAAAATTAAAAAAAAGGGAAAAAAAGCCAAACTTGTGATGGATAAATTAATTATAGACGGGAAAAGAGTGGAAATTGATGAAATACCAACCAAACTAGTGGTAGATGGGAAACGAGTAGAAGCAGAAGAAATTACCGCCTTTATCATGAAAGTGGGTGATAATACAGGAATTCAAATGGAAAGTAATAGCAGTATGTCAACCTATGGAAGAACACCACGATACAGAACTCAAGCTAAATTCAATGTTGTATCATCACCACCACAGTTAATGGAGGGGCTAACCAGAGAAAACAGGCAAGCAAACCCTAACGTTGTTCCACTTGTACCACAGGCAATGGAAAGGCTTACTGAAGGAAACGGCTATTAGGATCACCATGGAGAGCAGTCTACAATCCATCCAGGAACCATAACAAGCAAGAATATCTCTCTCGAAAAGGAAAAGAAACTTAAAATAATCAGTCTAAATGTGTGTAGGCTTACTTCAAAATTACAGGATAAAGAATTTACAAATTTCATCAATAAATATGATATCATATGTCTTTCGGAAACAAAAACAGATAGTGCAGATTTAATTAATTTAGAAAATTACACAGCTTTTAGTAAACATAGATCTGTGTTATCATTTCGAAAATCAGGTGGATTAGTTATTTATGTCCAAAATAATTATGCACCTAATGTATCCATTATTGAA